TGTTGGGGCAATGATTGGACATTGATATATTACTATTACGAGATAGTTTCCAATTGTTTTTCTGATAATTTCTCAGGGGCGCACTTCAACCCCATGAAGTGTATGTTGTTGGGTAGGAAGATCTTGGTGAGTGATATCGTGTCTTCCACGGTCACGGTGACCCCCTGCAGACTGGTGTGGGAGTCGGCACCCACCCGCACGTAAACAGTGCAAACCTGATACTGGTGCCGTTTCGCCCACCCGAGTTTGACCCCCTTCACGATTTCGACTTCATCCTGCGATGGTTCCCCTAGGTAGACTTTGATGACCAGAGTGGAGTTCGCCGGTAGACTCTCCAGGATGTTGACCACGCCTTCGAATTCAGACACCAGCTGCAATGTCACGTTTTGCACTCCCGGTTTACTCGATAGTATGTGGGCTGGCATACTGGCGGCTGGGCTGATGACTACGCTACGTCTCTGAGCCGGGACGTAAGCCACGAGCAGGGTTCCGTTGTTCACGACTTTGTTTAGGTAGTTGTCTTTGCTCTCCGTGAACACGTAAGGGGAGCCGAGCCTAATTTTGAGAAACCAGTCGACTTTAGCTGGTAACAACAGCCACTTGTCATCGTTGGTGAAAATTGAGCGTATATGGCTTGTTTCGGGCGACGGTAGTGCTCTCAATATCTTCTATGTCAAACAGTTTGCCCCCGAACGATGGGTATACCATCCATTTATCATCACCGGTGCTGACTAGGGCGTACCGAGTGTTGACGACCGCTCTTGAGGTATCTACTATATCACCTAGTGTTCCAACGGAGGGGACTTCAACGCGTTTGTAAATGTTGTTTTTCAGTTGAAAGGCGTACAATTTACCATCTACTCCAGGGTCATCGAATCCGTGTGTGTCCCCGAGGTCGGAGATCCCCACATTGATGCATTTTTTCAACCTCATTACGGGGCCTTGTGCGCTAGTCATTTTATGTGCAGCGTTATGCTGAGGTACCCTATATTCACAGGATTATGATTTATATCTAACACCGATATTATCAGCTCAGGGATGTTGCCCCGAGTTAACCTCTTATACTGACGCGGTGAAAACGACTCGGTTCTACCGTCGTTGTATTTCTCCGTTTTCACCGGTACGGCTCTCAATATCCTGGAAGGGTGACCCCCTTGAATGTTGTCCGTTGTGCTCAGCTGGCCGAGATGAATGCACAGCTCTCGGTACGGTACTAGGTCGGGTAACTTCGTGCCCGTGACGGTAGTTGTTGGTTTTATCTCATCATGCGGCAAACCGAGTGTCCTCGCCAATGGTCGGCCGAGCCTCAAGGGGTTTCTTCCGTTGTTGATTAACACCACTGTGCCGTTTGAGTCGTTCATCTTGAGTTCGGCTTCCAATGGTTTGAAGACCTCATCGCTTAGCGAGCACATGCTGTAGTAGTCGTCAGTTATCTGGTTGCGGGTGCCACTGACGAACAGCTTGTTGTTGTTGACATTGACATTAGTCCATCGCGGTAGGTAGGTGATATCGCAGAGTGCAACTTCGAGTTGACCCGACGTGTTATCGATCGCGTGCATCAGCTGAACACCCTCACCGCTCGTTATTCCTAGAAGTGTTATGTACATGTTAGAGTATATATACTCATTATATAATACTTTAAAAATGTACTCCCCGGGAGTGTTTTACCCTAAACTGGACATAGATTTCCCACACATGAAGATTGTGGTCGACGCTGCTGGGATGTATTTCAGTGCCCAGTTTATAGATGTGTTCCACCGGTATAAGCTTTCAGTGACTAACGTCAAGGCAGTCTATGCTTGGTTCAACAACCCAATGCAGTTCTGGCAGAATCAACTCAACTTGGCCGTGTGGTACGCTACAACGGGGTGTGGTGTGGCATTGACCGACACTCGGCGTGGCCCGCTGAGTCAGTCTGTGTTCACGTTTCACGTGTACTACCAGGTCAGGTGTATCCTCAAAGAGATCAGCGCCCCGCTCCAACTTGGCAAGGCGTGGGATGCAGTAAACAACCAGTACGATAGACGGGCCTACGAACGTATTATGCAACAAATTCGAACTAAACCCGAAGACGGATTGGTGTTTGCCGGGGCCGAACCACGGGTTGGGTATTCCATATAATGGGGGGAGACCCATGAAAGAAGTCAGTGATGATTTACTGAAACGAGATGTACTACGCCAGGACTTTGCTTTGTCGAGTAATGAATGGCGAGATGATCGTATGAACTTTAAAGGTGGTGTTGCTTTCTCCGTCCAGAAAGTGGAGCAGTCAACCGCGGACGGGTGGAAAATGTTCATGCTGGACACGTCGAAAGGGTTTACTGGTGCCGGTGTCACCAGATTGAACGACTCGATTCGAACGTACGTGTGGGCGCTGTTGGGTGCGCAGACGCAAATGCGTTCCAACTTCCTCGGTTGCTTACGACGCTCAGAAACAGTTCGTTGTTAACGTTGAGGATGCTATCAATGCTCCAGTTGATCTCCTGAGTGCCATCAAACGCTACCAAGACGTGTTGGAATACGCCCGGTCGAAAGTGGACTACGTCTTCGACGTTGGATTGTACATGGCTCCGAGCGATATGCAAGTGAGAGTAAAAAAAGTGGTGGGTTACAACAACGAAATAGTCATAGCCTAGGTGGGCCAAAAGTTGGGCGTCAACCCCGATGTTAACACCCCCCACGTCCCACCACCCACACATACTGGTGCGATGGGTATAGTCGTACCACCCCCGGAGCCCAGGGTTCAACCAACACCCCCACAACCCCAACCCCCACAATCCAATCAGCAACACATCGATCGTAAAACAGCGCTGGTGGTTGGTGGGGTCGCGGTCGGTTTGGGACTCATTTGGTTAAAAATTCCTTAGCCGCTACGTACACCAGCCCCACCACGGGGACGATGGCTGCCCACATGTTTTGACCGAGCCACGTGGCAGTTTTAGCCAGCGGGCTGAGCAGCCATGAGACGATGCTACCCAGGATGCTGGGCAGGGCTTCGGCGGCCTTACCAGCCAGTTTAGCCAGGGCTTCCCTGAGGGATTTCAGGTGTTTATTTATCCAGTCTCTGACGCCACCAGTGGGTGTTGGTGTTGGTGTTGGTGTTGGTGTTGGTGCTGGTGTTGGTGTACCACTGCCGCCGGCAGGCGTCAATGACACCACCAGGGTTGATATGATGAAGCCCAATGCAGTCAGAATGCTGGCGATAGTAATCCCTTGCTCTCGGAAGAGGATTCGGAACCTGTTGGCCAACTTGGTGTCCTCATTAATGACTCAATCGATGGTTTCCCGCATGCGGCTGATCTGGGAGCGAGGCTGTACCCGGTTCGAGGAAGCGGATTCCAACCGAGTCCGTCTCTCATCTTGCAAGTCACGCAGCCGTTTTTCGATACGGCGCTTCATATCCTCGTCATCCGTTTCTGCGAGTTTTACTTTCTTGCGAGCGATGTGCTCATCGAATGCTTGCAGATCTTGGACGACCTTGGGGGGAAGCTTAGGCCGGATCAAGTCAGTACCATGGCGACCAGTGAGAGGAGACAAAGCGAGCGGTTTTCTCGTGTGCTTATTCACGAGATCGATCTCCGGATGAGCTTTCAATCGCAGCGTGCCCTTGTCATCGATGGTAAACTTAGAATACACTATTCCCCACAGCTTGGTGTAATTTTTATCACGTGTTAACTCCGTGTAATAATCGTTGACGGTTGTTTTTAAAAGTTCGTCGCTCAAGGTGCCGCCCATGACTGAGGTGTCATCACCGGAATCCACCTCAACGGGTGCATCAGTGCCAAAATCATCCATTTCGGTTTCGTCAGCCATTATCTACAGTGTACTCTGTCAATACCGGCATCACTCGGGACCAAATAAAAATGCCGGTTTTGACAGAGTGCCGGTTTAGGGTGGTTGCAAGTTCGCTTATGACGCCGGCGCACACAGGAAGTTCAAGGTCGTACTGTCACTTTAACATTAACAACATGTCTGAATAAGAAACAAGGCAGTGTCTGAATGCACATTCATGTTTATTCATTCAAATAAAAACAAGATATATTTTGCTTACCTTGTGAAAAAGTCACTGATTTTACTTTGTATTTTGTGTGCCGATGCCTCGAGTGCAATGTCCTCAGCTGCACTTTCCAAGTTCTGCACATGATACAGAAGTCGTGTTGCCTGACTGGAGGCGAAATGTTTGATCTGGGTGCACATTCTTAGAACTTCATTTAAAGTCAGTTTAGGAAACACATTTTCGTCTTCATCTTCGACGTCATTTTCGTCTTCATCTTCAGTACACTTGTTCTCAGTGTGTTTTACTTGAGATAGCAGATCTGTTTCAAATTCACTCAAGTCTGGGTTTTCAGTAGGCAAATCGTCATCACACTCGACATATTCATCGCTTGCACAGCTTGTAGTTTCCTTGTTTATCGTGGCCACTAATGTACCTAGAGGAATGTTGTCGTCCTCTTCATCGTCACTGCAAACAGTTTCACACACACCAAATCCACATGAAGCAAAACACTTGCGAATGGTCAGGGGTGTTGTCTCGTTCCAAGCCCTCGCGATCCAGTACACTGCATCTAACACCGTGATTGCTTTGCAAAGCTCATCCGTGCTGGAACATGTGTCCATTCTAGAGACAAGTGATCTCAAAAGATATCGACGGTAACGTGCCTTAAATGCGCGGATTACACCTTGATCTAGGGGTTGCAGAACTGACGTGGTGTTTGCAGGAAGGTAGCAAAGTTTCACGTTGCTCAGACTAAGGCCATGGTTGTGGGAAGGGGCGTTGTCCATGAATAATAAAATATTTCTTCTTTGTCTCCGCATTTGCCGATTAAGCTGCTCCAACCAATCACGATACAAGGCTGATGTCATCCAAGCTCTGTGATTGGCTCGCCAAAAAACAGGCAATCCGTCAACACTGACATTCTTGAAACATCTGGGCGTCTGGGCCTTCCCTATTACCAGTGATTTGAGTTTTTCACCAGTGGAACTACAGCACAGCAACACAGTTAATCGTTCTTTCGACACTTTCCCACCTTTTGCTGCATGTAATTTGGAAGCAAGAGTTTTGTCGGGAGAGCTCGGAAAAAGAGACCTGTCTGGTCACAATTGAAGATGTCGCCTGCAGAATAGCCGTCAGTCAAATCTGGAAGGCGGGACTTAAATGTTGCTACATCATCTGCATTCACACTGGCACTCTCGCCACTGACTTTGAATTGTTTTATGCTGTATCGTGTTTTCCATGATGTTAACCAGCCATCTGATGCCTTAAAGTCATTAATGTCTAAATTTTGAGCAAACTGAACAGCTTTTTCTTTAAGAATAGGTCCAGAAATCGGCAGGCTTTTACTTCGAGCTGCCATAAACCATTCATGTGTCATGGTGTTGATCTTGTCAAATTTGCTGTTCTCCAACACACGCTTAGCTTGATCATTCATGTTAATTTCCAACTTCTTAATGTAATGATCCCGTCTCTTCAAAATATCAGACACAGTCTGTCTGCCGATTCCGTATGTTGATGCTAATGCTTTCTGTGTAGGTCGAGGCGTTTTATCAAAATCTTCTATCAGCTGCACTTTTTGTTGAAGGGTCAACTCACATCGTGCTCGTTTTGCCGGCCGAGACATTTTGGCGATGCTGGCTATTACACGACTGACATTATACGATTTTACCTTAAATACATGTACCCTCGAATCAACTAAACTCTTGCTGGTTTTTACAGTCAAACTGCCCATGTAAGTGACACGTACCACTCACTGATTAACAAGACACTGATTGACATTTCCCGTTTCTGAATAATCTTGGGAGTCAATACCCTCGAACCAACAACATGTAAACACTTGCTTGTTTTTACAGTCAAACTGCCCACTACATGCATTAATTACTCTATGTAAGTGGTCCGTACCACTCACTGATTAACAAGACACTGATTAACACTTCCCGTTTCTGAATAATCTCGGGAGTCAATACCCTCGAACCAACAACATGTAAACACTTGCTTGTTTTTACAGTCAAACTGCCCACTACATGTATTAATTACTCTAAGGTAAGTGTTACATACCACTCACTGATTAACAAGATGCTGATTAACACTTCCCGTTTCTGAATAATCTCGGGAGTCACAGCGAATTGTGTTGTTACATCATTTGGACCTAATCTCATCAAAGGGTTACGCCCTCTTTCATGTGCCGGTTTTTTACAGATTCGTTTTCATAACAACTTGTTCGTTGGGACTGAAAAACAATGCCGATATCCTGAATAGACAGATGCCGATGTTTACAGAAGTTTCTAAATGATAATAACGTGCATTTCTGCCGGGACTGAAACTTTGTGCCGATGTAGACAGAGTGCCGGTGTTAAGAGAGGCCAGTATTGACAGAGTCCACTGTATATTAAACTTTTATATTTTATCTAAATAACAATGTATGGCAGGAAACTAGATCCTTTCGGAAGATCAAGAGAGCCTCTAGGCGTCAGAGCCGTGCGCCAGTCGGTGACCATCACCAACAATCCCAGCAAGATAGCCCAGAACCAAACGCTGCTGGTTAGATTTCCAAACCTGGGTGAGAATGACCTCATCGTACCAGGCATGGTTCGACTGACGTTCAACCTCACGTTGACCTCCGACAACGACAAACGCGAGCTAGTGTGGAACGTAGGTCGAGCCATCATCAAGAAAACCACCATCAAGATCAGCGGTAACGAGGTGTTGAGCACCGACGACAGCGATGTCTTTCACTGCTACGGGGACCTGTGGAAAAGCGATGGAGAATGCGTCAATGACGTGTACCAAGGTATCAGCAAATCGACTCGGTTCCGCGTGGGGTACGGCTTCACGGCAGACCAGCTAGACAAGATCTTGGACGGTGAAAAGGCCATCGCCCAAGCGTACGGGAACAGGTTCTGCATGCCGCTCGACTTCGAGTTGCTCACGGGACACGTGCCGTTTTACCAGGCCGAGCTGGGTGATAGGCTTGAATACGAGCTCACGTTTAACGACTACATCAAAGTAGTGCGTACGCCGAATGGTGATGAGGCCAGTTACACCATCGACAACATCTCTCTGGAGTTCGACATGGTCACTAGCCTGGAGCTGGTCAGGCAGGTTCGAAACCAGTACTCGGGGAAGGTGGCCATCCTGTACGATAGGGTCCTGCGGCATAGATCGGTCGTGCGGGATAAGAGCGACACTGTGTGGAATATCAACCTGAAGGTGCCGGCGCGATCGATGAAAGGCATCCTGGTCGTCCCCGTGGAGGATTACGAGCCGTTCCGAAGGGACAGCGAGAAGTTTTTCAACCCCGAGATTGAAAGGGTGGAAGTGACCATCGAGGGCGTACCTAACCAGCTGTTCAGTCATGGTATGAGGGCATACCAGCAGTTGGATGAGATAAAAAAGCTACCGGCTATCAAACAACACCCACACATAACCAAAGACCTTGACCTATCCTCCGTGCAGATCAGTGAATACCTGACCACCAAGTACACGCTGTGGTTGGACATGCGATCCACGGATGATGATAAATTGCACGGTAGCGGTCGCCGCATCGACAACGGCAGCGAGGGGATAACAATCCAGATTACCAAGAAGGCTCAACCCGCGGGCAAGTTGAAATTATATCTGTACGTGATTATGGACGCGCAACTTAATATAGAGAATGGGAGATTTGTGCAACCATCTATTGATTTGCCCCGCGACCCAGACTGCGCCATAGTGTGCGGGCAGACGGGCTGTGGGAAGACCGTTTTCATGCTGGATATGTTGGAGGGGTACTACCGTGATGTGTTCGACAACATCGTTGTCATGTGCCCTACACTGCACATGAATAGAACGTACACGGAAAGACCTTGGGTGATGACGGACACGGACGTACACAGAGTCGACCCGGGGACACGTCTGCAGGACTGGTTGAAAGCTTATCACAACAAGTTTAAAGGGGAGTCGACGCTGTTCATACTGGACGACTGCAGCGCTAATCGTGAGATAACAAAAAAGAGAGACATGCTATCGTACCTGGCCTTCTCCGGCCGGCCGGCAGCGTCTGGGTGCTAACGCAGAAGTTCCACTCGATGTTCAAAGACCTCATGGAGCAGACGCGATGGGTGGCCTTATTCCACTGCAAGGACAGGGATTCGTTCGAGGAGTGTTTGAGAGAGAACGATGTGATGAGCAAACATGATAGGGAACGTGTGAAGAAACAGCTCGCTGAAACTAAACATGCTAAGCTCGTACTCAAGACCGACCAACCCGTGGCCTATAGGGTGTTTTAGCTTAGCAATGCTAAGTAAATGCTAAGCGAAGCTAAGCAAATGCTAAGCAAAGCTAAGCAAAGCTTAGAGCTTAGCAATTAATTGTTACAGTTCTATAGGGTGATGGTTGTTTTTGAAGTGCTAGTCGTGTGCAACTTAACCTTCATTTCGTTGTGTTTCACCTGCATCGGGTATTATATTATTTAAACTAAAACTTACTTATTACATTATAAGATGGAGTGTGATGAATTGCTAGAACAACTGTTGGAGGGGGATAAGCGAGGGGACGATGATAAGCGAGGGGACGATGATAAGCGAGAGAGACTGGTAGCGTTGGCTGTTGGTGGTAAAGCCAAACATTACTTTGGGGAGTACACTCCCGATAAAATTCACAAAATGTCAGCCGAAGAAATCGATAAGCTGTACGCTAGATACGAGGCTAGACTCAGGGCCGAGATGACAAAGACTATAGGATTGGCTATGACCCAGATATACACTGGTATTGCGTCGTACTTCCTTTCCATTCCCCAGCAACGCCAACTTTACCTGTGGGAGGACCTCGAAAAAGACCCTTTTATTGAACACGCCTTGAGCTCTATCAGGTGCATGCTGTACCACAAATATGGTATGTTTTTAGCCCCGGTGACGGCGGCGATTATCACAGCAAAGCATTGCCAATTTAAGGAGGGGGAAAATAATAATAATAGTATACAAGATGGATGCTGCCCAAGAAATGAGTCCCCAAATCCCCAGGGAGGTGACCCCTTCAGAGGAAACCCCACCCCAAACCCCTACGTTGGGGGAGACCCCCATGGAGGTGAACCCTACAGTCACCAGGCAGAAGAACCCTAAGAGAGTAGCTGCCGGTAAAAAAAGGTGGTCTAAGAGTAACACGTGGAGCCGGGCCCCACTCCTGTTAATTGCAGGCGCAACTATCTCATGGTTATATAATAAACAACCACCCAGGGAGGGTATCCCTCCCCAGGAACCCCCACAATTAGAGGTCAACCCACATATCATGTTATAAATATATATTTTTATATCATATACATAATGTCTGAGGGGAAAACGTTCGTCAACGTTGCATACCACGCCACCGTGGTCGCCAGTCTAGCTGTAGGGTACGCTCGGTTGACCAAAATGGTGCTTAAACAACCGACTATCAAAATAGATTTCAACCTGCAGGATATGGGTATGCTCATAATGAACCTGGGTATGGCGATGGCCACCAAGGACATCCTAGTAAAACAAGGGATCCTACAGGAAAATATTTTGAAGTAAATGTAATCATATATAGGATGGCTACGATCGCCATGATGGTCGGCGGGGCGTTAGTAAACGCCCTGGCATTTTCCGGGAGTAATTTCCTCTTCTCGAAACTACGGGAGTCACAGCGGCTGAGATACAAGCTGAGCGTAAGCGCCCACGACCTGGCTGTTGAGAAATTACAAGCAGCACAATCTGAGTGCGAAGAAAACGTGTACAGAGGATCGATTACATTAACGAACAACTCAGGCGTGAGAACCATGCCGTTAAAACATTCCATGATGTCGACGACGCAGCGAGAGAATACTCCCTACTAACCGGTAAACAGCTAGAACCACTCCCTCCTAAGCCCACACTCGCCCAGTACTACACACCATCCCCAGGGCAAATGGACCGGGAATTGATCTTTATTGCGCTGGGTCTAGCAGCGACTGCGTTGGTTGCAAAACAATAAGACTAAGTTCTCACATAACTATACCAAAGATGAGACCCGCCCCGTACCAATGCGAATACATACTTATGGTGAAGACCGAGGCCTGTGGTAGGAGCTGCAGGACTGAGGGGTACTGTTGTTTTCATATAAAGAGTATCAACTACATGTGTTCTGTGTGTGGTGTCGGGGTGAAAGGTCACTGCTGCCTATGCAAAGCTCACGGAGCAAACGTAGTCAGACATCATCTTATCTACGATAAGAAAAAAGACTACAGAAAAGAACGTAGGCGCCTCCTCAGGATAGCAGTGTAGTGGCCCAATTAGATACTGTGAACACCTAGGTATAACAATGTTCGTGGAAGTTGAGCCCAGGGAAAGTCGTTGCCTGAGAAGCTGGCAGATGGATGTGGGGGAAAGTATAGATATCAGTGTCCTCAAACCCATGATTGTTAGTGAACTATATAAGGGGTGCTCATTTACAATCATGGTGAAAGTAGGGTTTGCTGTACCGTGGGCTGGGCACACTTGGAATTACTTTGATAGTGGACGAGTAGATGTGCATGGAGAGATAGATATACTTGTTGACGACTCGTTGCAAATAATACAAATCACCCTACTATGCTGTGCATGTTCTGGGTGGGTCGAGGGTATAATCGATAAGGTCTATCTAGATATTTAC